GCTTTTAAAAGTAAAAAAAAAAAAAAGTTGGCCATGCCCACCTAGTCACATTACCCCCCACCAAGCCACACCCACAAAATAAGCCATGCCCACAGAACCGGTAGTAAAAATTTTAGAACCCACCCCTGCTATGTTTGGTATGTGTCTGGTGTCCTCTAACAGGGGCCTGGGAGTTTGAGGGTTCTTATCTGTTCCTAGAGTTCTTCTGGACAGAGAGCTATAATGTTGGTCCTTGGATCTGTTGAAGCCAATATCCCAGTTTAGGAGTCATATCCCCAGTGCCATGCCACTACCTGAAAATCTTGGAAGTTGTTTTCCAACACATCCAAAGTTCCAGTTTGGGCAAAGGGCATTTTTCTGTTTTGCAAAAGTTTTGTGTTTGTTTATTGAAGCAGTTTTATCTGAATCTTCAGCTGGCAAAACTCCCAGATGTATTCTACATAAAATAAATTGCAATATATCATAAAAATAATAATATAACAGCATTAAGATTTCTATTTACACATCCTCAAGAGTTGTCATAGTGATCAATATGACAAAACTATGTCAGTAAAAAAATCATTAATCATTTTTTTCATTAAGGAAAAATCCAAAGACACTCTATCACTATAATTTTATCAAGATTACATGAGTCCCAAAGTCACAAGCAAGTTTTTTGTTCTCCAGCATAATAGTACATCATAACAATCCTTTTAAATCCTCCTAATATACAATAATGTGACTGTGGAGTATTTAATTCCATGGAGATTTAAGGTACTGAACCTATGGGAACTACAATTCTTAAGTATGAAATGGGAAATTAATATATTGCAACAATGACATGCTGCCAAAAAAAATCCCCAGAGTTAAATAACTAAGTTGTTTTATTTACATAGTACATAAACTGAAATACAATGGGAGACAGGGATCTCTCCATAATAATGAGTTGATTTCCTCCCCAGTTATAGAGTGACATTTTCATCATTAATTAAGGATAGCTTTGTGATTAGTTTATAATCTGTATTTGTGCTCAACACACTGCAAAATCCGCTGAAAGAAAACTGGGGAAACCACTGACTTGCTGGATTTATATTCCATTTTTATTCTTTTTACCAACAACTTAAAGCAGCAAATATATCTAATATTCTTTCCTTCTTTGAATTTCCTCCCTAGGTGAGTTGGGCCTAAAGTCACCCAGCTGATTTTCATGCCTAAAGTGGGACTAGAACTCATTATCTTCTGTTTTCTATCCTGGTGCCTTAATCACTAGACCAAGCTGGTTCTATATGTATGTTTTACATATATCCCTACAACTGCAGCATACAGATGCATACAACATTATTTTGGCAGAACACAAAACTTGGGTTCTGTCTATACTATTAATAGTCATAAATAGCTCTTTTAAATTGGCCTCTGATATGTACATTCTCACTTTTACTGGAAGTGAAAGGGTCTGTTAAGAAAAAGAATGTTCAATAAAATCATTATTTGTCATAATGGTGTGTTACAATGAAATGAAATCCAGAGATAATTATTTTCCCATATCACTATCCAGAATTAATCCAAGCTAATAAAAGATTATTGCTTATAAACTGAGCAATGCCTAATCACACAATTTATTTATTTTTTGTTTGTTCAATTTCTATGGCCTCCCATGCGCAGACTCTGGGCAGGTTAAAGTTCAGAAATAAATTACAATTAAACATTAAAAAAACCATTTTAAGGCAATAAAACCAATAAAAAACATCAAACCAGTAAAAGCATTAAAAACATCCAATTCAAGATGCACAAGAGCTCATTAGCAATAAAGCCAGGAAACGGAGCCCTTGGGACATTCAGGGCTCCAGGCTCAGGAACATAAACCGGTTTTTAAGGCTTACAAAAAGGCTAACAGAGTTGGGGTCATTCTGATCTCCAAAGGAGGATATTCCATAGAGCAGGGACCACTATAGAATTACATTTCATGTTTGTCCAGTGCTGGGATTCAAATTTTTTTACTACCGGTTCTGTGGACGTGGCTTAGTGGGTGTAACGTGGCTTGGTGGATGTGCTTGGTGGGCGTGGCAGAGGAAGGATACTGTAAAATCTCCATTCTCTCCCCACTCCAGGGGAAGGTTACTGCAAAATCCCCATTTCTTCCCGATCAGCTGGGATTCGGGAGGCAGAGAATAGATGGGGGCAGGGCCAGTCAGAGATGGTATTTGCTGGTTCTCCGAACTACTCAAAATTTCTGCTACCGGCTCTCTAGAACTGGTCAGAACCTGCTGAATACCACTTCTGCGTTTGTCATAAGCTAACTACAATATAAATTAGTCTCTTTCTTTCTCTTTCTCTTTCTCTCTCCCCTGTGTGTGTGTGTGTGTGTGTGTGTGTGTGTGTGTGTGAGAGAGAGAGAGAGAGAGAGAGAGAGAGAGAGAGAGAATGCACTAAAGAAAAACATATTTTTAAAAAAGAGAACACCTTTTCTCTTTGATAGTATCTTTAGGGTTTTGAGGATGGCTTGCCTACTGATGCTGAATCTCAGATGTATCATCATCTGACATTTCTCCATGGTCTCTATTGGTAGCTCTATTTTTGTCTCTGTGGACAATTTGAAATTCCTTCTCAGCGTGAAATAAGGAATGATTTAGGCAGACAGAGAAACGATTCATTATTAACCTTGTTATATTTCTGGGTTGCATTCTCTCCACCCTTTCTAATTATTGTATTCTACTTCCCAGCTGATTTGGAGGTTTTTTCCAACCTCCAACCCTTGACGTTCCAAACCATGCTATATTTTCAAGGGTGTTTTGTGATTCTCCCTGCAGAATTTTTAAAAAAGATATTATTTGTACTTCTGCAAACTGCATGATTCCTCAAGTCTGTCATGATCTCTCTTCTGAGCATGAAATCTCTTTTTTTTTTTCCAGCTCCTCTAACCTTCAAGATCTAAACTCAAGGTTATATTCCTTCAATATACAGTAAATCCAGATCTTTTTTCATTTTTTATTTTTTGTGAATGAGTGAATGGTGTTGATAATTTATCATCATCCCCATAACACTGTTCTATTGTGCCAATAGCCTTCTATTTATAAGAAGAATTCTCACAAGAATACCTCAGAAAACATTTTTTTTTAAAAGTTTCTCAGAAATGCCTTCCTGTTCATAATATGGCACTGTGGATTATTCACGCCCAAAAAGATTGAGGTTGGACAATATTAAACTTCCAAGATCCTCCAGATGGTTAAATAAAATGAAAATATACTGCTTATTACTTCAGCTCAGAACCCTGCATAAGTTGCTACCTAACCAATCAACAGAGTCCTTCGCTCAATAGCTTCCTATTCCAATGAGCCGTGGTGGCGCAGTAACTGTGCAGTAACTGCAGGCTACTTCTGCTGACTGCTGAAATCTAACCAGGCTCAAGGTTGACTCAGACTTCCATCCTTCCGAGGTGCGTAAAATGAGGATCCAGATTGTTGGGGGCTGACTCTGTAAACCACTTAGAGAGGGCTGTAAAGCACTGTAAAGTGGTATATAAGTCTAAGTGCTATTGCTATTACTATTTGGAAACCATCTTCACTGAGCCTGATTCATTTTCCTTAGGGCTAACCCTTACTTCACGGGGAGCCCTTACTTCACGGGGCTAACCCTTACTTCACGGGGAACAAGAGATCAGAAATCTTAGAACAGAAGAAGACAACAGAAATTAAACAAAAGTAGGAAATGCATTTACCCCCTCATCACCCTGAAAAGAGAAAAAGGAAAAGGAGAACTGGGAGGCTTGCCAGATGTAAAAGGTGCAAGAGGAATTCCAATGACAGTTTCATTTTCAGCATTAGATTGCTATGGAAAAGCCATCAGTGAAAAGAAATGAATTTGAATAAACTGAGGTAGCCTGGGTCTTGGATGATGTCATGTGTGCATTTTCACCTGTCACACTGCCTCATTAGATTTGTAGTCTTGAATCTTACATGCAGAGTTTCTGCCACAAGCACATTTTGCTCATTAATGCAGTATATCCTGGCACCAATAATTTTAAAGCTAGGCCACCACTGAACTAATCCTTTCCTTAGCTAAAAAGACAAAATAATGAGAACTGAAATTAAAGTAGATAGTTTGCTGGGGAAAATGCTAAAATGAAACATTGGTGGGCACAAAGCAATGATTCTCAACCTTTTATTTCCTGCAGATTACTACATCCTTGTCAAAAATTTTCAAGGAGTGTCATACAAGCTAGAGGTCAACTATGTGGTATGTGCAAGCCCAGTGGAACAGTATCTATAGTATAGATATAGTATAGGTATGTGCAAGCCCAGTAGAACAGTAATTCCCTATAAATTTTTAAAGCTCACAAGTCCACATAGTTGCTTTATGTCATAAGATTTAGGTTAATGCCAGAAATCTTGCAAAACTTTCGGTCTGAATACAAAAATCTTGAAATAGAATAGAACTCTTTATTGGCCAAGTGTGACTGGACATACAAGGAATTTGTCTCTGGTGCATAAGCTCTCAGTGTACAGGCAAACAACATAGTGATAAGTCATAGTTCATAAATCATAAGATACAAACAAGTGATAAATCATAAGATACCAATAGGAGAAGGTAGAAGGAAAGATGAGAAGATGAGAAAGATGAGAAAATGACAAGGATAATACCAATAACAGCCCTACTATTTGGGTAAATATCCTTAGACACAAGACAGTGCTGTGGGAATTAGGTGGTTAGCAGAGTGATTGGCATGTAGGAAGAAACTATCTTTGTGTCTAGGTGTTTCGTCATGTAATGCCTTATAGCAGTGTCCTGAGGGAAGAAGTTGAAACAGTTTATGTCCAGGATGTGAGGGGACTGTAGATATTTTCTCAGACCTCTTTCTACTTCATGCCATATACAGGTCCTCAATAGAAGGCAAGCTAGTTGCAATTGTTTTTTTCTGCAGTCCTAACTATCCATTGAAGTCTGTACCTATCCTGTTTGGTTGCTGTGCCAAACCAGACTGCTATAAAGGTATAAAGACAGACTCAATAAAGTTGGGAAGCATCAAGTTTGACTGATCTTTTAATTTTTAAAAAAAAACAAATTGTTCCCTGCACTTGCCTTTGCAGTTCATGGACATGTGTCACTTGGCCTATTTTCTAGTCTTTAGTCTAGTCCCTGTTTCTGTGGCTCTTCTTTGAATTCTCGTTGCTGGTTTCTTATTCTTCAAGCATGAAAAAGGAAAATAAATAATATGTCAACAACTGTCTCCATCTCTTCTTATATCTATTTCTTTGCTATGCTTTGCTATGCTCTTTTAAAAATGCATTGCCGTGAACACCCAAAACTAGAACATTGATTTTTATTAATAATTCTGACTTATTTTACTTAAAGATGATCTCCTACGTGAATTCTTGAAACAAATTCACCTTTAAAGCTTGGAGTTGTAACAGTTTTTACACAGAGATGTCACACAATTCTTTGAAGTTTTTCCTCAAACAAATAAGCAGGAGAGTTCATTTCCCACTAAAATGAAGAATGGATAGTTCAACTAAGCTAACAACAATGTTGTGGTTTTCTTAGAGAAGTAGAAAAACCTGTTAATCTCAAAAAGTCATGGAAATTTGGCTAGCATTTGTATAAGAGTACAGCCTACTAAATTAAACAGGAAAGCTGTTACTTTAATTTATTGAGAAAGATGAAATCCCTAATGTGTATTTTGCCCAACTTTGGGAAAAACTGGGAATTTTAGGTTACAGTTTCTACAGAACACTTGGGGGAAAAAAGTTAACATAACACAATAATTGAAATGCATTGATTGATATCTGCTCCTAATTATCTGCTTTGCAAAAATAGATATTTGAAGATCTGTAGTCATGAGGAAATATAGTTCTCTTTTCAGCAAGAAAATGGGCCTCTGAGCATGTCTTGGAAATTAGCCTCCTGACTGAAGCAGTGGAGTTGATCTAATCCAACTGCTTCAGAGGGATACTTTCATTGATTTTTTTTTTCATCAAATTGCTCTTCATATGTTACATTGAGCAAGTCTGAAAGAAAACTCCAAATCTTAATCAACAAATGCTCTGTCTTACAGATTGGCAAAAAAAATCAGAACACAAAATACAAGCTGGGCAGATATGACCTAACAGACGACCCTCACTCTGTCAAAGACCTTGGAGTACTCATCTCAAATGATCTAAGTGCCAGAGCTCACTGTAACAGCATTGCTAAAAAAGCATTAAGAGTTGTTAACCTAATCTTGCGTAGCTTCTTCTCCGGTAATATTGAACTGCAAATTAGGGCATACAAAACTTTTGCCAGACCAGTTCTTGAATACAGTTCATCTGTCTGGAACCCACACTGCATATCGGACATTAATACAATCAAACGAGTCCAGAGATATTTCACAAGAAGAGTCCTCTAATCCTCTGCTCACAACAAAATACCTTATGCCACCAGACTTGAAATTTTGGGCTTAGACAACTTAGAACTTTGCCGTCTTAGGTCTGACCTAAGCGTAGTACATAAAATCATCTGCTACAATGTCCTACCTGTCAATGAATACTTCAGCTTCAACCAAAACAATACAAGAGCACACAATTGATACAAACTCATGGTAAACCGATCCAAAGTAGGCTGAAGAAAATACGACTTCAGTAATAGAGTTGTTACTGAAGAATGGAATTAGAACTAGTGGAACTAGTGGAATGCACTACCTGACTTTGTGGTTTCTTCCCCAAAACCCAAAAACTTTAACCTTAGACTGTCTACTGTAGACTTCACCCCATTCCTAAGAGGTCTTTAAGGGGTGTGCATAAGTGCACCAGCATGCCTACCATCCCTGTCCTAATGTTTTCTTTTATTCGTATCCATTTCATGTATTTATAATTATGTTTACACTTGTATCTGTCATAAAATACATGCTTGACGAAAAATACAAATAAATAAAAAAAAAATTAAAAAGGGGATATCTGCGTCCTTGGGATGTCATCTAAGAAGTGACACCTCCTCCTTGGTGGTGACAATGGCTTTGCTACAGAAAAAGTCTATTGGGAATTGCTCCCTCCTGCTTCCTTTTGGATTTACTTGAAGTGGGGAAACAATGAATTCTGTCCACAGGTGTAATTTTGGTAATTGTGCCAATCAAATGGGCTAGGGTTCTAGATTTAAGCCACCAATCCTTGTTAACAACTACCTGTGTATAGTGTTTGTCATATACAGACTGTTTTCAATTTACAACCTTTCATTTTGTTCAAAATCAGAACAGCATTGAAAATAGTGACTTATGACTGATTCTCACAACCGTTGCAGCCTCCCCATGGTCACGTGATGAAAATTCAGGCACTTGGCAACTGGCATGTACCATGTTTTCCTGAAAATATGACCTATCCCGAAAGTAAGTCCTAACTTGATTTCTACATGTGTGCCCAATATAAGTCCTACCCCCAAAATAAGCCCTAATTAAGACCCCCCTGCCCACTCCAGGGTGCACGGGTAAAAATTAAGCTAGGGTGGGGATGGGGGAGGTGGAGCTGCTCTATTACTTACCTTTGGACAGTTGCAGCCAGGCCTCACACACCCCGACACCTGCCTTGCTGGCCTCAGAAGAAGTTCCTGAAGGCCTCTGACCGTGAAAAGGAGGCCAGGGGCAATGCACGCAAGTGAGGTGAGTCAGTGGATGATACCACCACCCCAGAAAATAAGACCTGGTGCCATTTTGGGTGGCAAAAAAATTAAGACAGTGTCTTATTTTCAGGGACACATGGTATTTACAATGATTGCAGCATGTGATTTGCAACCTTCCGACCTAGCTCCTGACAAGCAAAGTCGTAAGATTTGCTTAACAACTGCATGACACAATTAGCAACCATCATGATTTGCTTAACAATCATGGCAAAAAAAGTAATATAATCAAGTATGACTTACTTAATGACCGCCTTGCTTGGCAATGGAAATTCTGGTCCCAGCTGTGGTTGTATGTTGAAGATTTTTGCTCTTGAACAGGATGGGCAAACTGGTGCCTCCAAATGTCTTGGACTGTAATTTTTATCATATTCAAGCATGGCTAATAGCATGGGATTCTGGACTGTATTTGAACATTTCTGAAAGATATCAATTTGCCTTTTATAGGAGAGCAAAGTATGTTTTTACCACTATTTATTAATAGCCATTTGATTTGAGGACTGAAAGTTCAACCCCTTAAATAACGTGTGTGAAAATACAGAATCACATTTTGTACATTCAGTGCAATTAATGGAGCAATGCGTCAGAAGTTTTTGTCTGTTCATCTTGGTCTGAGAGTATTTTGGTACTTTTTGGAACAGTAGATACATTCCACAAATCCATAAAACTCTTTCAATATTTCGTTCTTTAATAAAGATAAAACTACACATTCCATTTTCCTATTGTACGAAGGAAGGTAAATTCTAGAAGAAAATTAAAAGAGTAGTCCTGGAATGAAAAATATTTGGAAAGTTGGTCACAATTCACTGCCAATTAAAATATGATTTTCTCTGATTCAGGGTTGGCGTTTTGGTTTTGTTGTTTTTTTATATTTTTCACATCGGTTTTTCGAAAGGCACTTAACAACCATCATTTTTTTCTTATGAATTCACTTAGGGAAGCATCTAAGCTTCTTAAGAAAGTGTGTCTTCTTCATGGTTATGCAGAATAACCTTGTTGTTTGCTGTACTGCTGAAAAACTCCCAAATCCTACTGTTAGTAATGGACTAACTTTTGTGAATGCAGACATGGCAAGGCAAAAAGAAACATCTCAAATAATATGCCTTTCAGAGAATGAAGGTAAGTTTTTGATATGATCAGACTGAGGAAGCTGAGAATTTAAGGGACATTTCATCTTATGTATTCCTGATACTTTGTTTCATAATAACATCCACATTTTATACTGTATATTTGATGCTGAATACACTGAAAAAGACCATGACAATTATTCTACAGGTTTGACAGGCACGGATTGAACGTAAATCTATCAGAAATAGCTTTCTTCCCTAGCTGACATTTACACAAAGGTTTTTTTTTTAATTATTTTATTTTATTTTATTTTATTAAATTTTTATACCGCCCTTCTCTTGCTGGACTCAGGGCGGTGAACAGCCAAAAATAAAAACATCACATACAAAATTTAAAATTTTTAAAAGAATTAAACAAATTTTGGCCCAATAAATTTAAAACACCCCAACTAAAATCAATTTACAGTTAAAAATATCTAAGGGGGGATTAAGCCAGCCCAGCTTGATGAAATAAAAAAGTTTTAAGGGCACGGTGAAAAGCACGGAGATCTGGTATCCTACGTATCTCCGGGGGCAGGGCGTTCCAGAGGGCAGGTGCTGCCACAGAGAAGGCCCTCCCCCTGGGGGTCGCCAGCCGACATTGTCTGGCCGACAGCACCCTGAGGAGTCCCTCTCTGTGGGAGCGTACTGGCCAGTGGGAGGCTATCGGTGGCAGAAGGCAGTCCCGTAAGTACCCAGGCCCTAAGCCATGGAGCACTTTAAAGGTGGTAACCAACACCTTGAAGCGCACCCGGAAGACCACCGGAAGCCAATGCAATACATTTTTCACTGTATTATATCACATCTTAGACCAGATGTAAAGATAATCCTTACCTTATTACTGTATGAAAATGTATCCCATATATACTTAATTCTGAAACAAGCATACTCTTTTATGAACAGAACTCAGCAACCATGAGAAACATGGAAGGGTTAAATGCTGGATGGCAGTTCTATGGACTGAGAATCTCTGTAGACATTTTCCTGGATGAAAGTTCTTTCGAAGATAAGCAATTCAAGCATATAAAATCTTTTCTGTACTCTCCGTACTAAAGCCCAACATAATCCAAAGAACACATCAATAGCTTAAAGATGCAAGTTTAAGCATGATTTTCTTTTGATTTTTTTCATTATCTGTCATCAAACTGTTATCAATTTTTAATGACCACAGAAATAGATTTTCTCCAGGATAAATTGTTCACCCCATGGTCCTTTGGTCTTCCAATGGTTGACCTGTTGCCACTGTAATTGAGACCATGGATGTAAATTTGCAGCCTGTCAAGATCAGTACAGATGAATCACCAAGATCATTACTAACTCTGTGATTTCAAAGGGAAACTCTGTTTTTGAATCAATGTTCTCATTTATCTCTTTTCAAACTATCCAACATCTTTCTGGATGCAGGTATGACCTAGTTGCCCTTTCTGACTGTGACGTGTCACTGTCTTTTGTTCTCTCTGTTTCTCTCCCTCCCTCCCTCCCTCCATCCCTCCCTCCGTCCCTCTCTCTCTCTCTCTCTCTCTCTCTCACACACACACACACACACACACACACATTTATATGATGTTAAATTCCTTAATTGCATTGCCTTATGAGTTCCTGAAAATGTTTCTGCTGTTTGCAATAGTGTAGTTTTATATGCATTTTGCTGGGCAAACACAGTGAGTACAGCAGTCCACTGCAACAGTCTGCAAGTTTCGAATGCCTTATCAAAACTATAAATATTACTGAGAAGAATATTGCCCAGCTATTGAAAAATTAATATCTAGTATCCTTACCGACTCCAAAGATGTCTTATTTCTGTATATACTTCCAAAACCATACTACTGAGAATAGCAGCTAATGTATGTTGCTGTCTGGTGTTTTCTTTATCAGTAGCAAAGAAATCTTCTTATGCCCTCCATTAAGTTATCTGGATAATATAAAGGAAAACAGATAAACTCTAAAAATAGAAGATGAAGATAAAGCAGCATCAGAACATGATACTCAAGAGAAAAAAAGGAGATGAGCTGTAAAGAGAAAGCATGCATTTAAAACTGGGAAAAAAAGAGAAAAGAAAAAAAAAGAAAATCTTCAGTTGGTTTTGAAAAGACCATAATGTAATTCACAGCTGAACTTTTAGAGGGAGCATATCCACTTAGAGGGCCACCCATTAAAGTTTTTTTTCCCTCCATCCTCTTCCAGTCCCAAGAAAATGAGATTACAAGAGTCGACCTGTGCAGGGAGACATGTGAAGTGAAGCAATTTTTCAAACAGCAATAGCAATAGCACTTAGATTTATATAACACTTTTACAGTGCTTTACAGCCCTCTCTAAGCGGTTTTACAGAGTCAGCATATTGCCCCCAACAATCTGGGTCCTCATTTTACTGACCTTGGAAGGATGGAAAGCTGAGTCAACCTTGAGCTGGTGAGACTTGAACTGCTGGCAATTGGCAGTCAGCAGAATTAGCCTGCAATACTGCATTCTAACCACTGCACCACCATGGCTCAAAAATCTAAGCAAAACCTTTCCTTTCTGGGCCAGTTATTTGAAACAAACAAACAAACAAACAAAAAACATGAAAAGAAAGAAATTCAGAATATATGGACATGGCTTCAAAAATAGCAATGACACTTAGACTTATATACCGTTTCACAGTGCTTCACAGCTCTCTCTAAGCAGTTTACAGAGTCATCATATTGCCCCCAACAATCTAGGTCCTCATCTTACTGACCTCAGAAGGATGGAAAGCTGAGTCAACCTTGAATATCATCCCTTTCCCTTTTTCATTCCTCTTTCTTCAGTACATATATCCAACCATTCCCATTCCATGAATATATGCATTCAGACAAGACATACTTGTACTAGAGGTGGGTTTCAGCAGGTTCTGACCAGTTCTGGAGAACCGGTAGCGGAAATTTTGAGAAGTTTGGAGAACCGGTAGTAAAAATTCTGACTGGCCCCGCCCCCATCTATTCTCTGCCTCCCAAGTCCCAGCTGATTGAGAGGAAATGGGGATTTTGCAGTAACCTTCCCCTCTGTTCTGCCCTAGCTACGGACCCCAAAGAATGCAGCACACACAAAGTCTGTACAAACCTTAGTTTACTAAATTAAATCAGTTTTTTTTTCAAACAAAGGCTGTTAATTAACTTTCTTAACAGCCTACAAGAATCCAAAGAATAAATAATCGTAATCTTACTATGGTTGGCAGAAAGCCCAGAAGCAATTTGCAGAGAACTAAGATCAAGACGCGAAGGAGAGTGAACGAAGTTGTTCCCTGCAAATTCCCTCAGTCATCGTCCTTCCTTAAATAGGCTAAGGGCCAATTAGCCCCAAGCCTTACTCTCGAGGAGACCTCCTTCTGAGGAGCCACTTCTGCCTTTTGGCAGCTCTGCGCACCCATGCATCGAGAAGAGGCTCCTCCTCTTCTTCCTCTTCACTTATGGGAACTTCTGGAGGTTCTGAAGGTCCTGGCTGAATCCCCACCTCTGGCACCACATCTTCTCCAGCCTCCTCATTGTCTGACTCGAGTGCCAGCTGCACAGGCTGCTGGCGTAGCACCACACCAGCCTCCTCACTGTCAGAATCAGCTACTAGCTGCACAGGCCGCATACGGGCCACAACACCCTGGAGTGGGATGGGAATGGAGATTTTATAGCATCCTTCCCCTGCCATGCCCACCAAGCCATGCCATGCCACGTCCACCAAGGCACACCCACAGAACCGGTAGTAAAAAAATTTGAAACCCACCACTGATATGTACCCATCCAAACTTATAAGAACTTGTTCTTCTTCTTCCATGGTAACTTGGCCAAACACTGCTGGAAATGCTGAGGGAAGAACTGCATTTGTAAGTAACATTAATGCAGGCACAATGTTTTCCATAAGCCTTCTATCACTGTGTGCTAAAGCTATTCTTGGCTATAATTCTTGGATATCAAGAATTGTGGATTTTCCAGGCATGTGGATTGGTTAAAAGAATAATTATACATTTTTGGAAGACAACTTCTGCACTTGATTTGCAACCATGGGTTGTTTGTCAATATCTGAATTGTCACCTTGACAAGGAAGCAGGGAAGTAAAATGTTCAATATAGCCAAGTCTGGGGTATTTTCTTCTTTTTATAGTGTACTCACCATTGCTAACATTGTGCAATGCATGTTTGTTCTTTGCTTGATCCATTTATTCTCATAAAATAATGGGAAAAATGGTGTATTCTGCAATCAGTTGAGAAGGAAGCAGTAATTTAGGGGGATTTAGGCAAATACAATGGGCAGCATTTAAGGTTTCTATGAATTACCTATACTGTTTTGTACTGAATATTAAAATCATGAAGTTTTTTTTTTATGGGTTTGAACATTACTAGAAAAAGTAATACGTATTTGTACTGTTTTCAGGTTATCATTTCAATAATAATTGAAAGTATACATTGAAATATGAAGTTGAGCAACATACCATTCTGTTGTGATTAAGAAATCTTCAAAGAAAACAAAGCTTGTTTTTCAAAGTGTTGGAAAAACAAGCTTTTACAGCAAAATGATACAGTTCCTTGTCACCCCAAGCGTTGAACTGGGAGATTATACCATCTCCCGTCACAAAACCTCAAGGTCTTTTTGAACCATGTAACCACCTGAAGCAAGCTTCCGAAGATTAATGCTGTAATGCTTGGAGACTTATTCCAATGAAAGCTCTTGAGAGCCTGTTCCACTGCAGCTTAAGGTTATAGGCTGATTCAGTTGACTTCTCTTGTCTTTTCACAGCTAGCAGTGACCTGGAGCAATTCAGAATACACGTGTGCCAATCAAAACAAAACCAAACAAATCCTCCACGTATTTAAAATTCAAAAGAATATTTCTGAAGGGCGGTGGGGAAGAAGCATTTTCTGGTTTGAAATAGGGAATAAAACATCTTCCAGGAAAAAAAAAATCTTTATTATTCAAAAAGATTTGCTTTCACCTTTATTCTTTTCTTAAACAAGGTTTAGGAAACTTGATTAACATGAATGTGCAATGAAATTCATTTTGTCCATTAGGCCCAGAGGGGATACATAAGAAGCAATCGACAAAGAACACTTAGTTACAAAGGGTTAGGGAGCTGAAAAGGATAGTCATAATTTCCCAACACTGTAAAACAATGTTCAGAAAGTGTTTCTCATGGTATTGTTCTTTAATAAGATTATATATACCAAAACCCACACTAGTTATTGGAAAACAACGTTGTTTGTATTTTTTTTTCCTGCCCCAAAGCCACTGAGACACAGAGATAATTACACGATCAGTTTTAGTTAGGGCAAGAGGGGAAAAAGGAAGGAATACTTAAGTTTTATTGTAAATATTTCATTTAATCATTTAAGCTGGTGTTTATTATTACTTAAGAATAACATGTTTTTACATGTTTTTACAATCACAGTTGAGCCCCAAAATTTATGTTGCTAAGTGAGATGTTTGTTAAGTGAGTTTTGCCCCATTTTATGACCTTTCTTGACAAAATTGTTGAGTGAATCGCTGCAAGTTGTTAAATTAGTTACATGGTTGTTAAGTGAAATTATTTATTTATTTTATTTATTAGTCATATTTCTATGCCGCCCACTCTCCGAGGACTCTGGGCGGCTTACACCAAAGACAGTATACTAAATAGCATATTGCCCCCAACAATCTGGGTCCCCATTTTACCCACCTTGGAAGGATGGAAGGCTGAGTCAACCTTGAGCCGGTGAGATTTGATCCGCTGATCTGCTGAACTAGCAGTCAGCTGAAGTAGCTGCAGTACTGCACTCTAACCACTGCGCCACCTTGGCTCTCGGTGAATCTGGTTTCTCCATTGATTTGGCTTGTCAGAAGGTCACTAAAGGAGATCAAATGACCCTGGGACACAGCAAACATCATAATTATGAATCAGTTGCCAAGTGTCTGAATTTTGATCACATGACCATGGAAATGTAGCAACAGTTGTAAGTGTGAACCAATGGCCATGAGTTACTTTTTTCAGTTCCTTTGTAACTTTGAATGGTCTCTAAATGAACGATTGTAAGTCGAGAACTATTTGTACTAATATTAAACATTAATGAAGTGCCTTAAAATTTGATTGTGAATAGAAAAGTCCATTTAACAGACTGGATGCCTGTTGTGGCCCGTACACGGCCTGTGCAGCTAGTAGCTGATTCAGACAGCAAGAAGGCTGGTGTGGTGCTGCGCCAGCAACCTGTGCAGTTGGCACTCGAGTCGGACAATGAGGAGGCTGGAGAAGATGTGGTGCCAGAGGCATGGATTCAGCCAGGGCCTTTAGAACCTCCAGAAGCTCCCTTAAGTGAAGAGGACGAAGAAGAGGAACCTCTTCTCAATGCACGAGCGCGCAGAGCTGCCAAAAGGCAGGAGTGGCTCCTCAGAAAGACGTCTCCTCAAGAGTAAGGCTTGAGGTTAATTGGCTACTCCCTTAGCCTATTTAAGGAGGAACGCAGACTGAAGCAATTTGCAGGGAACAACTTCGTTCACATACCTTCGTGTCTTTTCTTGCTTATCTTATCAGCTTCCTACAAATTGCTTCTGGGTATTCTGCCAACCACAGTAAGCTTTCAGTATTATTCTTTGAATTCTTGGCGGCTGTTAATGCAGTTAATTAACAGCCGTTGTTGTAAAAAAACTGGTTTATTTAATAAACTAAGGTTTGAACAGACTTTGTGTGTGCTGCGTTCTTTGGGGTCCGTAGCTGGGGCAGAACAATGCCACAGGTTATCCACTCTGCAGTAGTGGGCTGATGCCGGTTAAGACCAGTTCAGGTGAACCGGTAATTGCGACCTGCGGGTACTGCCCACCCATCTGGGTGTAATCCCATCCTATATCGCTGTGTTTTGTGATGCCGCACGCATGTGTGGATGCATGCGCACATGCACACTGACACTTCCGGTTTCTGGGCGAACTGGTTATTACAGTATGTGACGCCCACCCTACCTTCTATCTGAAGTCCTGCACTGCTATTGGAAAGATCCTGAAAGGCTCAAGGTTGACTCTGCCTTCCATCCTTCTGAGGCAGGTAAAATGAGGACCCAGACTGTTGGGAGCAATATACTGCTAGAAGAATTAGTTTGAGATGAAAGGTCACAGACTCCAGCAAAATATCCTTTAGAATTTCCTAATTGACTGCTATTCTGGACACTCTTTTTAGGTATAAAACCAAGTCCCAAGAGTTTCTGCTGGAGATCACAGCATGACATTTTATAATGTTTAATGCAAGCATTGCAGTTCACTGTTCTCTTTCATCACTGAACAGAATATTATGTTCTGAAAGAAGTCACCTTCTGCTTAATGGTGTGAATGAATTAATACGCGCATCAGTTGGAGGAGAGGAACAAGCAGATGTGTAAGAAGCAACAGAACGTGAATTTTCTGCAGTCAAGAAATCCATTAACAGAGTTACACAGATTACAGCATGAAACCAAAAAAAGATGTCAGTTAACATTAACCTTTATTTAATGTAACTGCTATAATTGTAAAACTTTTTTTAAAAAAATGGTGCCCTATAGATCTTATCTCTGAACACTCAAACCTATTTGCACATACCTTGGGAAGACACCAGAGGTATCATATCAAACTAATATGGACTCTTTAAGATTCTTTTCTTTCATTTCGTCTGGTCCCCTGGAATATAACAGAGAAAGGGAGCACAGGCAAAATCACATCAGATACCTATACAATTAGCACAGGGGGCCCCCAGGGCTGTGTCCTCTCTCCACTTCTCTCTATATACTAATGACTGCATCTCAAAAGATCCCTCTGTTAAAGTATTGAAGTTTGCAGATGATACAACAGTGATTGGTCTCATTTGAGACAATGATGAGTCTGCATACAGACGGTTAAACAACTAGTCTTGTGGTGCAACTGGAACAATCTTGAACTAAACACACTCAAAACCGTAGAAATGGTGGTAGATTTTAGGAGAAACCCTCCTATACTACTACCTCTTACAATACTAGACAACACAGTATCAACAGTAGAGACCTTCAAGTTTCTAGGTTCTATCATATCTCAAGACTTAAAATGGACACTTAACATCAAAAATGTCATCAAAAAAGCACAACAAAGAATGTTCTTTCTGCGCCAACTCAGAAAGCTCAGACTGCCCAAGGAGCTGCTGATTCAGTTCTACAGAGGAATTATTGAGTCTGTCTTCTACATCTCTATAACTGTCTGGTTTGGCTCTGCAACCAAACAAGACAGACACAGACTTCAATGGATAATTGAACTGTGGAAAAAACAATTGCTACCAACCTGCCTTCCGTTGAGGACCTGTATACTGCACAAGCCAGAAAGAGGGCTGTGAAAATATCTACAGACCTCTCACATCCTGGACATAAATTGTTTCAACTTCTACCCTCAAAATGATGCTATAGGGCAGTGCACACCAGAACAACTAGACACAAGGACAGTTTTTTCCTGAATGCCATCACTCTGCTAAACAACTAATTCCCACAACATTGTCAAACTATTTAGTCAGACTGTAATTACTATTATTCTTCTCATCTTTCCTATTATCTATCTCCTCCCACATCACTGCATGACTGTAACTTTGTTGCTTGTATCCTTACCATTTATATTGATAATGATTGTTTCCTAGTATGATTTGATTGCTTATTTAGTAACCTATGACTATCACTAAGTGTTGTATCTTATGATTCTTGATGAATGCATTTTTTTTCTTTTTATGTACCCTGAGAGCATATGCACCAAAGACAAATTCCTTGTGTGTCCAATCACACTTGGCCAATAAAGAATTCTATTCTATTCTATTCAATAGCTGTTCTTATTATCGTTCAACTGTCCAAATGATCAGCATTAGTTTCTATGGAAACTACTTCAGCTTCAACCACAGCAATCCACGAACAAATAATAGATACAAACTCAAGGTAAACTGCTCCAAACTCAATGGCAGAAAATATGACTTCAGTAACAGAGTGGTCAATGCCTGGAATGCACTACCTGGCTCTGTAGTTTCTTCCCCAAACCCCCAAAGCTTTAACCTTAAACTGTCTACTGTTGGCCTCACCCCATTCCTAAGAGGTCTGTAAGGGGCGTGCATAAGTGCACCAGCATGCCTACCGTCCCTGTCCTAATATTCCTTTTTACTCTTACTCTTTTCATGTATTCAAATTATACTTTTACCTGTTATCTTATATATACTTGACAAACAAACAAACAAACAAACAAACAAACAAATGGACAGAACTATATGACACCAAAGTATAAAATAAAATGCTGTCAGCCCATCTCCAGTCAATGCCAACTTCTAATTTTACATGTTACAATATGAGATTACCTGCTGATATTTTAAATGCTTTCCCCAACTAAATGTTCTCCTGAGGTATCTTTAAGTGTCCCCAGAATTCCTACCTAGGAGGATGAGATTGAAATCGACTGATTTAGATTGATGTGCCCAAAAGTGGCTATAAGAATGATCTGGAATTTAAAACTGGAGTCAGTACAAGAGGTAGTTGCCCAATTGCCTCAACTGAACCAATATTAAAATGTACTGGCTGACAAAAAAGAATATGTAGCTTACTTAATGTGATCTTGAGATAATAAGGGTATCAAAGCTTATGTAAGAAATGGCTATTCCCCCCCCCCCATTTTTATTATTGAGAAAATTATACTATTTGATATCCCTTTTCCATAACAATTTCTCCTTTCTAGTGTCAGGGAAAGGGCACTGAAGTTAGCAGAGAAAATCCAATACCTGCAGGAAATCCTGATTTTAGAAACCTCCAAGAAGAGGTGACCAAGAAGGGACTCTGAATCTTACCTTGAAATCTCTTATAGCAATTGCACTTATATGCCACTTTGCAGTGCTTTACAGCTCTGCCTAAGTGGTTTATAGAATCAGTATATTGCCCTCAACAATCTGGATCCTTATTTTACTGATCTTGGAAGGATGGAAAGCTGAATCAACCTTGAGCCGGTCAGGATCTAAATGTTGGCAGTTGGCAGAATTAGCCTGCGATACTGCATTCTAATCACTTCACCACCAGGGCTCTTTCTATTTGTCCTTAATAACAAATAATAATAACATGTATGAACACAACGTCCAAGTTTCTGCAGATCTGCTGACATTGTACATGCTTAGTGTGGTGGAATTAAGTAATTGTTTTAAAATACCAACAGTTCAATTTCATGAATGGTTTGGATGAAGATCTGTTAGCAGACTGGACTTGGGCACATCATGAAGATTTGGATAGCAGGAACATATCAGAAGACTACTTTTAAAAGTGACATCCAACCCAATGTATTTCTTTGTAGGGAAATCATAATGCCCTTCTTGAAAATATTTGTTTGCCTCTATTATAAAATCCTGAATCTCAAAACCAATCACTACCCATCAGCATTGGCACCCAGGAAGGTCAAACATGTAAATAAAATCTTTGGGATTCTCTATAATAGTATAAAGGGAAAGACTATCCCATCACAGCATTTAGAGATCTCGCAATTTCAACCAAACTTGATACAAACAGATGACTTACTCTCTGGAAAGAAATACTGTGGGGGTAAGACACACCTAACACCCCTCGGGATGTGCGTTCTGTTAAGATACAGCCTGTTGAGCCTTAAAATGGCTTCTCCTGTACAGCACAGTGGAGTTGCCATGGTAACGGCTTCACAATACTCCACAAGGGGGCTCCCTCTGGTAAGGGGGAAAAGCTAACATTAGAAATTACATTTGGTCCAGACATTTTCAACAAGGCTTTGATTATTCTTGAGGACAAATATATGGCCATGATCAATAAAACATTACTGCAATTCGGGCTGCCTCAGTGGTGGGTTGCCTCCGGTTCGCACTGATTCTATAGAACCAGTAGTAAAACCGGCGGGACGCTCCACCCACCGACCTCAACGTCATCAAAATGCTTTTGCACTTATGCAGAACAGCACGCGTGTGTGAGCGAAGCGAGTGCGCACATGCAGCCCCACTGCAAACCGGTAGTAAAGGTAAGTAGAACCCACCCTGGCCTGTCTGCACCACTATGAGACCAACATGATGTACTTCACGCAGATTACATATGAGAAAAGAACTACAACATCCAACAGTTTAGTGCATATATCGCAGACAAGAAGCCACTGCTAAATCAAGATCAGAAAAAAGCATACCAAATTATCATGGATCAGCTAGCAAAACAACAAGGTGGTATTATTTTCCTTGACACTTCTGGGGGCATAGGGAAAACATTTTTAACTAATTTAATTCTCACCGAAATCAGGGCTCAGGGTGAAATTGCTCTTCCTGTCTAATACAGGATTGGGATAAATAAATACCTGGGTAACGCCGGGTTATCAGCTAGTATAAGATAAAGTGGCAGATGGTTACCCAACTTAATAGGAAGCAATGCAAAGCCCATTTCAATAAAGACTTCCATCTCTAAATATTTAATGGATTAGCCCCCAATAGTTAAATAAACTCATTCAACAAGACAGTCAATATTGACAAAGATTTCTACTACAAAACAGGCTGTTATTTCTACATTTCTTTAAATGCTTGAAGTGCATTAATATGCAGTCATCAGTAATGTACAAGGGTGCTGCTGGAGTGATGGGAGGGATAAGGGGGAGGTACAGCATATATAACAGCCTAGAACTATTTTATTGTACTAAATAAGGGAGTCAGCAGGACAAAGTCTTTCTTCTTTAAGGCTTGAACATTCATGAAATCAGCAGATCAGACACAAGGAGAGGGCTACCTGAAAATTAATCTTATATAATGGGCAGAGGAAACAAAACTTCCTGTTAAATGGAATGGACTTTGTCCATACAGAGGAAGTAACTTATATCTTGCAACTTTCCTTTCCTTCTTTCCTTTCCTTTCCTTTCCTAATTTTCCTAATTTTCCTTTCCTTTCTTTCCTTTCCTTTCCTCCTTTCCTTTCCTTTCCTTTCCTTTCCTTTCCTTTCCTTTCCTTTTTCCTTTCCTTTCCTTTCCTTTCCTTTCCTTTCCTTTCCTTTCCTTTCCTTCCTTTTCCTTTCCTTTCCTTTCCTTTCCTTTCCTTTCCACTGTTCCCTTTCCCCTTTCCCTTCTTTTCTTCCCTTCCCTTTGCTTCCTTCCCCTCCCCTGCCTCCCTCCCTCCCTATTGTCATCTGAATCTTGCCTTTTGCTTTAATTATGAAAAGAGAATAATTTAACAATGAAAACCAAGAAAGCCCGTGGACTCCTGCCTAGAAGAGAATTAATTAAAAATCTATATTTTGGACAAAGATTCTCTATCGATATTGAAGCAGTCCTTAAAATGCCCTGCAGCAATTTAGTTCTTTCTGATATTGGCATAGCTGATGTATCTTCATGGAGGTTAATGATTTCAGAAGTGCTTACATTCAGAATACTTAAATAATCATTCTAGTATCATAAGAATGTGGGTCACAAGAATCCTTTGGCTCAGATAATCTTGCTGATTGTTCATAGATTGATGAGGAACGAGAGAAGAAGCAAAGCATTAGTATTAATTTTAAATGATAATTGGAAAACAGTTCATTAAAAAGATAAATATAGAGCCGCAGAACTCTTGGAGGCAGTGTTCTGATTTAATGAAAGTGGATCACCTCAACAAAGTAGATTCATAAACTGAAACAAGAACCCAATTCAGGGTAAAGAACTGAATCAAC